AATGACAGAGGTTTGGATACACGTCTTCTGCAAAGGATGTGTAAGCCGCACTGCCGCGCCAAGGCACCTCTTATAGTGCGGTCCTAACTCTAAACTATGAGAGTCTCCATCTTGGAGCACATGGGGGCAGAAGATATTAAATTGGGTGCAGGCCTGTTAGGAGGACGCCCCACCTCCTTCTGCCCCCATGTGCTCCAAGATGGAGACTCTCATAGTTTAGAGTTAGGACCGCACTATAAGAGGTGCCTTGGCGCGGCAGTGCGGCTTACACATCCTTTGCAGAAGACGTGTATCCAAACCTCTGTCATTGTCCTTAGTGGTGAGACAAGTTGTTTTACATGCTAGTTTGTGAGTGTGCCATGATGCCTTTCTACTGTTCTATTGCTCTTCTCTCTGACACGCAGTCACAGGAGGCTGAGCAAGCGGTGTAGAGAGGAGAGTGACAGCGCTGTCTCCGCCCACACAGCGCTCTGCCGGACTGTGATAGGCGGCAGAGCCGCGTGGGAGGAGACGCCGGCCGCTCACAGCGCTCTCCACCGCAGTGCTCGGTCGGCTGTCACACTTTCTCTCCTCCCCGCTGGGACACAGAGCAGCGCCCAGCGGGGAGGAAAGAAATCAGGGATGCACTGATGTATCGGCAGGAAAATGGCACTTCTGGCATTATGCCAAAAGTGCCATTTTCGGTCGATATGTTTCGGCGCCGATATATCGGTGCATCCCTAATTTTACATATTAAAGTGACACTAAACTCAGGAGTTAAATCTTAAAAATACATTCAAGTCCCTTAACTTTTAATGGTACTGGACCTTATTTGTGTATCACTCGGCTGTAGATCCTCCAATCATCTCTGAATTGGTACTGACACTGTCCTTCCTTCTGGAGGGGGGGCTACTTTTCTTCCCCATGGTCCCTGTGTGTGTTGTAAAGTAGTCACCGCTCCAAGCCCAGTTAATCTAGGACCTGGGCAGGACAGTGAAAGTAGAAGCAGCACAGTGAGAACCTCATGGCCCTGCCACTCTGCTCTCTCCTCTTATCAGAATGCTTCTTGTCAGCACTCGTGCTGCTTCTCCTCTCCATCTCACACTCCAGACCTGCTATACAGGGACTGCAAGAAGCTGATACCAAGGCAGATTCAGGTACTTACACTGCTTGCATTAAAAAACAAAAACAAATTTAATAATGTGTTAATGATTACAGAGCTGCATCAAGTTGTGTCTTTTAAATTTGATTAAAGGAGAACTATGGGGTCAGGGCTTTTCCCCATAGTTCTCCTTAGGGTAACGGGAGGACACAAACTAGCGTCCTCCCCTTACCCTAAGCTCGTATACTGAGACGCCGCAGCCGGAGCGGATCCCGACATCGATGTCGAGATCCGCCCAGCTGCGTGAGTGACAGCTGGCTCTGCGTATCTAGAGGCAGAGCCAACTGTACCCGCCCCCTCCCCCGTCCGTTCCGCCAGTCAGCGCTGGCGGAGCGGGGAGGGGGGAATCCAGCCCCTCCCCTGTCACGGCAGAGAGCTGTGACAGGATCAAGAGGTGAGCGATTGCCGGTATGTGTTCGCTCACCTCCCGATCTACTGAGCCGACCTGTGACAGGCCGGCTAGAACTATGAGGTGAGTGGAAATCACTCATCTCATAGTTCTCCTTTAATATTCAACTTTATGTACAGTCAACAGGTTTATTTTGGATTTATATAGGGTATGGAAGGGTAAACGCCCATTTATTTTTGTTGTCCCTGTCTAGTTGGGGAGACTTCACATAATTTCCTCTCCCACGGACAGGAAACAGGAAGTGAGAGAAAGTCTCCACGCAGTGACAGCTGTCACTGGAACAGGTGCCCCTTTGGAAGATTACCCCTTTTTTCCTGTTCTGGTGACATTTTGAATTTCCCATTAACAACAGTGACCAGGACAAATAGAGAGGGTGAATCTCCCCACTGGGGGCAACAACAGCAATAAAAACCTGGCAGGGGTCCCTGGCCTATCCTAAACAAGAAATAACGTTTTTACACTTAAAGTTTCGTGACCATTCTACAAACGTTGACGCGTTCCGATCTCACATCTTTGATGACTCCTCTACAATAAATGTATCATTTCTGCCTCATCTGAATTCCTTCTTTATTGTTTCCAGGAGTATAAGATGCCTTCGGAACATCATTCACTGGAATTTAATAACAACCTTTATCCTCCGGAATATCATGTGGTTCCTGCTTCAGATGATTGACCATAATATTCATGAGAAAAATGAGGTATGAGAATTCTGTAAATGGAACTATTATTACATCGGACTGCAGTGGACAAAGCAATATGGAAATTAATTACAGTTCAACTCCGGGCACAATAACTTTCATGCAAATACATTCCTCAATAACCACAAAGGATATAAATTCCCTCTGGGTGCACCAAATGCCTTTGCAAATCCAGTTATTATCTTATAGAAGTAGCAGTGACATCATCACTGGGCTGCACATAGCCTGTGCGGAGAGCAGAGCTGTTGGAGGGACCCAGCAGGCCCCGACCACTACAGGGGATTAGAGAAGGGGGCGAAGACAAGACCAGTCACCCTGCACAACGAGAGAGTAGCAGTGACCGGTCTTTATTACAGGACAGGAGGGGGTGGAGACAAGACCAGTCACCCTGCGCAACGAGAGAGAGCAGCAGTGACTGGTCTTTATTACAGGAAGCTCCAAGTCTCACATTGGATTACTGCACAGATCTGGAATACACAAAGCTCACCAAGATTCAAGGAAGAATACATATGATTCTTGTATTGAGCAATAATATCTTATCCCAGGGTTCAGCTTCAATTAAAGTATATGTACAACCAACATTTTTTTTTAGTTTTTGGATGGGGTTTGGGAAGGGTTAAAACTGTTACTGGGTTATTTGTTGCTGTATGTGTCCTGCTGAGGAGATTTCCCTTCACTTCCTGTCTTACAGACACAACAGAAAAAATCTCCCCAAGGTGAAGGGAAATCCCCTGTTACACAGTTGCCCCCAGTGGTGTGCCTAGACTTTTTGCTACTTGGGTGCACAAGAGTTATGCAGTCCTCTGCAGACCTGGGGCGTTCTTGCCAGCATCCTGCCCAGCTCCCCGCGTCCCAGGTTGCTAAGAGCTGGATGAGGAGATGTACGTGGCCCTTACACATCTCTCTGTCAGGCTCTTAGTAACCTGGGATGCTCCGGACGGAAAGGGGGAGGTGGCATTGTGCAGCAGAGCAGCCATTATCCAGCTAACAAGCTGCACTGTCTGCCACTCCCCTTCCCCAAGCGACCCAAAGTGATGTCACCCAAGGCAAAAGCCTCAGTATAGGGATGGCCCTAGTTGTCCCCATTGGAAGATTTCCCCTCAACTCTTGTTCTGGTGACCACTGTAGAATTTTGGATTTCCCCATAAATTTTGTCTCAGTGACAACAACCTCCAGGACAAATAGGGAGAGTGAATCTCCTCAGCAGAAACTCATCAGGTTTTGCCTTTACATACACTTTATTCAGATATTCAGCTTTATCTCATGAGCTGATAGAAGACACATGTTGGGTTGGCTTACGAAAGGATTAGAGGTGGTTCCCTTTGAAAAGTGAAGGTTGACGTTGCCAAGAGAATGCTATTTATTAAGGTGATCATTTTTTAACTAGAGTAACCAATCACATGAAAGTTAAATTAAATAAAGGATTCTTCCTGGCTAATGATTGGCCAATTGATGCTACTAAGCTTAGTGAACATTCATTATGCTAAAAGTGGACTCTTCATTCCTTTAGTAACTAGTAATTTATGAACCATTCATAAATTTGAATATATTTATGACTATACATGGGGCCATCTCCATATTGAGACAGCCTGAGGCTGCTGCCAAAGACATGGGGGGGGGGGGGAGGGCAGCAGGCAGAGCAGCTGCACAATGTTTGCCCTTCCGGCCAGAGCATCCCAGGATGCTAAAGGCTGGACTGGGAGATGTGCAAGGGCCATACACATCTCCCCTCCCAGCTCTTAGCAACCTGGCATGTGGGATCCTCTGGCTGGCGTCCTTTGATTGTCACTGGTTGCTAGGAGCTAAGTGGGATGCTCTAGCTGGTATCCCGCTCAGCTCCTGGCAACCAGTGATGTCTCTGGTTGTCAGGAGCTGGGCGAGACTCCAGCCAGAGCTAGAAATGATGGGCCATCCCTCCACCCCGGTTAGCGTGCACCACCTCAGGTGGCAAAAAGGCTATGGATGCCCCTGACTATAGATTACTACTTGTTAAAGGCAATCACCAATCAAGCTGGTACATACCCAGTTAGAAGACATATTCAGGAAATTATTCAGATAAGCAATTCTGCTCGGTTAGTCCCCACTGCCAGAAAACCTTGTCTGGTCCCATACCTCCAACAGAAGTGCAATTGGGCCAAAATAGCACCCCTAGCCTCCTGATTGGACAATGAGAAATCTTCAGGTGGTACTTATGTCACTATGAAGTCTTTATTGCATGATAGTTCGTAGCAATAATCTCTGAGTGGAATTTCATTGTAATATGGCTTAGGACACTGGTGTCATTGTGAAGAGGCCAAATGTTTGAGGTCCAAAACCATCACACTTACCTGTATGGCCAAAAGTAGGAGGACACCCTTCCAAATGAATGAGTTTAGGTGTTTGCAGTGAAGGGTACTGTTAGTGCTACTGAAGACAAAGACATTGTAGACAATTGTGCTCCTCCAACCTTGTGGTAACAGCTTGGTGAAGGCTCTTTTCTGTTCTTCCATGATTGTCCCCTGTGGACTAAGTCAGCTCCATAAAGACTCAGCTTGATGAGTCTGGTGTTTAGGAACTGGATTGGCCTCCACAAAACCTGACGTCAATCCTACTCAACACATCCAAGATCAATACATGACCTCACAAATGTTCTTTTGGCTGAATGGGCCCTGATTCCTACAGACGCACACCAATATCTTGTAGAAAGCCTTCTCTGAAAAGTGGAGTCTGTCAAAAGATGGCCAACTCCGTATTAACCCCCATGTTTTTTTTTTATGTGATGTCCAAAATGTCATATAGGTGTGGTGGTCAGGGATTCACCAACTTTAGGCCAATCAGTGTAGCATGTGGCTCTGATGTCCCTATGAAGTCTTAATTGAAATACAGTATGTGGCCTATGGCATGGACAACCACTTGTAGCTTCCATAAGGCTTTTATCTTTTATAGATTTGTACTTTGCTTGAAGAAGTTTCTTTCTTCTTCCTAATAGACCTCAAATGGCCTTGAACAAATCTTTGAAAGGCCCAAGGACTCTGTGCATTTAACGTTGGACACCTGAGGTCAGATCAATCGTTCCTGTAATCCTCATTATTCTCAGCCTTCAGTCTCTGTCTTAGTCACCTCCACTTACTGAATCAGCGTGGGTTTGTTGAACAATACATGTCTCTGCTCTTATGATACACACCCATCTCTGACATCGGTGTGCTCATATATACCTTTTGTTCGGATGATATAATAGATAGAAGAAGGACTAAACATATTTTTTTTTTTAAATAGATAATGCTCTAAAAAAAGAAAAGAATTATGAGTTACTTTCTTGTATTTTAGTTTGAAATATAAGAACAAGTGACACAACACAAAATAAGCTGATCACACCAGGATGAAGGGCTAAAAATTGCTTTTAACTTTCTGTTAGATTTGTCATGAGCAGGCAGATGGAGGGAAGTGACCTTTCCTTAAAGTGACACTAAACTCAGGAATTAAACCTGAAAGGAGAACTATGAGGTGAGTGCTTTTCACTTACCTCATAGTTCTAGTCGACCTGTGACAATGAGACTGTCACAGGTCGGCTCAGTAGATCGGGAGGTGAGCGAACACATACCGGCGTTCGCTCACTTCTCGATCCTGTCACGGCTCTCTGCCGCGACAGGGGAGGGGCTGGATTCCCCCCTCCCCGCTCCTATCCGCCAGTGCTGACAGGAAGACGGACGTGGTGCTGACACTGTCCTTCCTTCTGGAGGGGGGCTACCTTATTTCCCTATGGTCCCTGTGTGTGTGGTAAAGTAGTCACTGCTCCAAGCCCACTCTCCCATGATGGACTACAATCTCAATACAAATCAGTAAACTAAACATGAGATTGTAGTCCATCACGGGAGTGAGCTCGGAGTGGTGACTACTTTACAACACACACAGGGACCATGGGGAACACAAGTAGCCCCCCTCCAGAAGGAAGGACAGTGTCAGCACCAATTCAGAGATGATTGGAGGATCTACAGCCGAGTGATACACAAATAAGATACATTGTTGTTCATAGTTAAGGGACTTGAATGGATTTTGAAGATCTAACGTTGAAGAATTTAGTTTCACTTTAAATTGAGGCATTTGTGTGATTCAGTATAAGTGTGTGTATGGCTGGCGAACGACGAACCTAAAGGAATGATGTGTATGCCTCCTCTAACGTAATTCAAAGCAGATACTTTTTATCCTATGCGATTAATATTGTCATTACTGAAATATTTTAGAATTACTATTTTGTAAAGCCCAAGTCTTACATGCCCCACCATTGACCATCTCCCCCTCTCGTAGCCCACTTGTGTCGAATATCCATCTTTTCTGAAGTCTTCAGGCCAGTCACATGATGCAGCAGGGACCTCTTCCTCTGTAGCGCACTGGTGGTACCAATTGCTCGGCACCAGTACAATGTTCACCAGTACACTGTGACTACATAGTTACTCATGTTGACACACGCCCATCGAGTTCAACCTGCAGAGAAAAAAAATTTGAAAAACCTTCAAAAACAGAACCCTTTGCCCACAGTTACCCACAGTTGGTCCAGAGGAATCAGGGGCACCATGGTGAAGTCTTGACTCCCTGCACTTATTTATGTACTCAGGGGGTTATTTACAAAGCTGCCAAAGGCATCCGAGTGAATAACCGAGCCGTAGTAAAGTGTGCCGAACAACGTTCGGCTATTCACTATGGCTCAGTACGGCTTATTTCAACCGTACATCGGCTGCCTTAGCTGAAGTGCAGAAGGACTTTGACTCAGCTGATCCAACATCTGGATCGGCTGAGCTGAAGCTCCGGCAGCTCACTCACTGCCATTCGCCCCTATTCACATAGGGGCCGAACAGCAGTGAGTGAATAGCCAAATGCCACGAGCGGCATTCGGCTCGGCTATTCTGCTTGGTACCTACGTGGCACCGAGCAGAATAGCAAATAGTGAAAAAAGTCGGGAAAAAAAAAAAGTTGAAAAAATATTTTTAAAAAATGTAAATAAATATAAAATTAAAAAAAAAGAATTGGGCAGAGCTAGCAGTGACAGCTAGCTCCGCCCAACTGTTTCGTATTGGCCGGCACCTGCTAGAGTCTTCTAGCACGTCTCGGCCAATGAATAACAACTGGGTGGAGCCGGCCGTGACGTCATGGCCGGCTCCGCCCAGTTCTTGTTGTTTAATAAAAGATCAGCGTACCCAGGTCATTTGGGGACGCCGATCTGTCATTACAACTGGGCACGGTTGGCTCCGCCCAGCTGTCATTTGCGGGGCTTACGATCGGCCCTTCGGCAGGCCGTTCGCCCTGCTTCGGGTGTCACTTCGGCTCAGTCGAGCCGAAGCATATGAGCAATAAGGTTTCCTTTTTTTTTTTTGGGCAATTGTTATAGTTATAATTTCATTTTGCATTAAGCTTGGTAAACATGGTTAGAATTTCATTCTAAAAAAAATTTGCTTTTAGAATGTTCACTTGTTTTCCCAATAGTTAATTGGCGATCAATTTCGACTGTAGTGTTGGAAAGAATGGGAGCGAGATGAAAATGTTTTTGGAACTAACTAAATTTTAGTTTTCATTTGGGAAATTCCATTAATTTCCATAATCAAAGTAGATTTCAAATGACTTCCTTGATGGCATTATCAAATGTTCTGAGCAGATTTTTCACACGAAAGCCTGTACGAAATTGTTTCTTTTTTTGAAGTTTTCTTTATTTTTATTTTTTTTCATATTCTTATTTATACCAGAAGACATAAGTGATTTTTTTATCCAATGATACTAGAAATAAAAATGTAGCCCCGACTTGGCTTTGAATATTAATATTATCATGACTGGTATTGTTGTTCTCTTTTATGATAATGCCGTTATTATACTCCATGGCAGAATATAAATGATAAAAAAAAAAATTATGCTTTATTTTCTAAAACATTTTTGACTTCAAAAGGACATATGAACTAATTAATACATTTGATACAACCCGAAAGACGTGTTTTGTGTCTTAATTAGAGGCTGCTCTTTCTCACTGTGAAAATCATGGCCGTCTGGGGATCTGTCATCAGCTGTAAAAATTAAAATTTTTGTGTAAACTGTAAAATCTGCTGCAACATTTTTTTGGGGGGGAGGTTTTTTTTTGTGTGTTTTATGCTCCTTTCAGTTAGTATTATTCTAAGAGTGTCCAGACACTGACTAACAAGCCGTGCAAATTAGCACCCCTTGGCGACAGGCATTTGTAGGGTTTGACTAGAAGGAGATAATGAGACTTCTGATCTTTGGAAATGTTCCTTTATCCTGTCCGTGGATTGTGCAGCATGTTGGCTAATGCTTCTGAGGCTCCGGCCATTCCCTGCCATGTCCACACGTCAGGAACTAAGCCAGCAAACAGCTCGTGAGTCACAGAAGGCTCCTTTCATCAGAGGGTTTGGAGATGGAGATTATGCTTTCCGATTTAAAGCTGAGCTCTGGGCAGATATAAAAAGAAAATTAACACAGCACTGTATTCATTATTACATAAAATTTATTTTTTTAATGCAAGCAGTGTACCTGAATGTGACCTAGTATCAGCTCCTAGTGGTCCCTATGTACAGGGCTGTCCCTTTAAATTCCCTTCACTGTCCAGTCACAAGATGGGGGAGGAAAAAGATCTTTAAGTATTAAGAGAAATCTATTTGGTAACCTTTTTTTCCCATGGTTCGCTTTAGAGTCACGGGAGGACGTATACTAACCTCCTCCTGTGACCCAAAACTCAATATATAGCTGGCTATATCCCGCTATATGCTGAGAGCGCCGCAGTCAGGATGGAACCTGACAATACTGTTGAGATCCACCCAGCTGGCTGATTGACAGCGGGCTCTGCCTATCTAGAGGCAGAGCTAGCTGTGCCCGCCCCCTCCCGGTCCGTTCCTGCAGCCAGCAATGGGATATCGGAGGCAGGAGACCAGTGACTGACAGTTGCCGCTCTCTGCAGGGAGATGATCGGGAAGTGAGCGAGCGGCGGTGTGTGTTCGCTCACTTCCCGATTAATAGAGCCGACGTGTAAAAGTTTCAATGTCACATGTCGGCTCTAAGTATGAGGATGAGTGAAATTCACTCTCCCCATAGTACTCCTTTAACTGCAGCATAGAAATAAATCAGGTCTCCTGCCCTTCCAGATAGGGCTATGCTGCGGGGCAGAGCTATAAAAAACCCAGGACAGAATGGACAAAAATACAAATCATTACCAACTGACAGGTATTTTAGGCTTGGTGTAATACCTTAAAATGACCTTACAGAAGAGATTTAACACTGTCAGGAAAACCCTGAAAAATTAATATTGACCCCAAATCATTACAGACACCCTTTAAATGTAACTCCCTTCTTATCTTCCAGATCTGGTGTCGATGTATCACAACGATTTTCAATTACTTTGTGGTAACCAACTTCTTCTGGATGTTTGTGGAAGGCTGCTATCTCCACACTGCCATAGTGATGACCTACTCCACCGACAAGCTGCGCAAATGGGTCTTCCTCTTCATAGGATGGTGTAAGCCTCTTCCTTATTTTTTTCAAACTTGTTTTGTAGGCCTCGTCCGCACCGGAACGCATGAGTTACGAGCAGTGTGTTGAGCGTTTGAAAGGCTCGATTTGAATTGACTTTCAGTGTATCTCTAGGAAACATTTTTTTTGTTTGTTAATATTGAATAGAGCTGGGAAAAGTTAGACCCTCTGACAAGTTCTTAAGGATATCTAAGTCCTCATCGGGAAATTCAACTTTCTATTTGTACTGAGGATCATTGTCTTCAAGAAAGAAAGTGAGGGCAACTCAAAAATGTTTGAATTGCTCCCAGAACAAGATGTGAGTGGAGATTCCAATGTGGACACTTGTTCCAGGGACAACTTTCTAAGATAGGAATTTCCCTCACTTTTGAGAGACCTCCTCTTATTTCCTGTTGTGTCTTTGGAACAGGAAGTGAAGGGAATTTTTTCCAATAGTGCACAGACAGCTAAACTGGCAGGGGTTTACCCTTCCAGGCCCAGATTCCCCACAAGGCCACTGAGTTCCGGGCGCCGGGCGGTAAGTTGCCTTCTACATTTAGTCCTGCTTTGAGAAGGCAGGACTAAATGTAGTGTGGGGAAGATACCTGTTTGTTTACAAGTGACATCACCGCGATTACTTGTAAAATGTGTGCAGCCTCTCCCCTCCCCTCCCCCCCCCTGCACCCACCTCTCTCCTCTGGTTCCGTCCTCCCCACGCTGAGTCTCTCCTCACTGGCCGCCGATGCAGTGAGCAGAGCAACAGGGTTAAGAGCCTGTTCACATGACGTCCGTTTTCTGTGCTGACCTGATCCGTACGCTCCTGCACTAAAAATGTATCCCTATGTGTTTTATGGGCTACAGTTCTCACGTGCGCAGTCCGTTCAGGTTACGACAGAAAAAATATTGCATGTCACATTTTGTATGGTCAGGAAACGGACCGGAAATGCAAAACGTGACAAAAACACATCAAAAAAGCACTGCACTGCAGTTAACATACTGACAGCCCCACTCCAGGTTTTTTTTAACCTGGAACGCATCAAAAACATGGCCAAAACGCACTGCATCAGTAGCACCGCGTCTGCAGATGCGCTCCTGATCAGGACCTGATCAGGACCTGATATCATGTGAACAGGCCCTCAAACTAACCCTGCCGCTCCGTGTATACAGTGAGAGGGGAGAGCTGTGCTGTGCTCTTCCTCTCTCACCTGTCACAGGAGTTCTAGCACAGTGCTGTGCTAGAACTCCTGTATTGGAGGTGACAGGTTCAATAACGAGAACCTGTCACCTCCAAAGGCTATCACGCAGGGGCTTGTTAGCTAGCTCCTGTGTGATAGCAATAAAGTTAAGTGAAAAATAAAAATTATAAACATTTTAAAAAATTATAAGAAATAATAATTAAAGGAAAAAAAAATAAAAAGGTGATTAAAAAGTAAAAAATAATAAGAAAACAATTATTAAAAAATAAGAAAATAATTATAAAAAATAAATAAACAATAATAAGATAAAAAAGTATTTAAAAAAATAAAATAACTAACAGTAAACGATAAGCTAAAAATGTAAAAAAGAATAAATAAAAATAAGTGATTAAAAAAAAAGAGAAGAATTAGCTATTGAAGGTTAGTTTTTGGCTAAACGGATGCACATTTTGTGTATTGGCACATTGTGATGCCATTCATTCTGTTTGGCACCCAACGCACTAAGACAGTGCAACTCCAACACCAAAACACATGTGTTGAAGCACCCCACAATGCATGGTAATGCACTACCATGCTTTGTGGTGCACTGTGTATCCAATAATGGTGCATGCCCATTCGGTTGGACATTTTCAGGCATTGCCAACCCATTTATTTGAATGGGCTGCCTCAACGCAACGCATCACACTGGAAAAGTATGAACCAAGACTTTGCCTTTTTTTTTGAGGACTTAACTATTAGGGTCATCTCAAGTGTAAGAGTGATGTTAAAGCCGAACTCAAGAATTGCCAACAAAATTAAATTCCTTCCCATCTCCCCACTCAGCATATGCCAAACATAATGCTCATTTTTTGAAGGAATGAAAGGAATGCTTACCTAAACCCGTGGTCCAGCAGTCTTCCTCACCACCGGCTCTGGCTTTGATGACTTTGAAGGTGGGAGATATGATTGACCACTTGGTCTTCAGTCTTCTATGTTTCTATAGGATTGGAGAGCCAGCTGCTGTGGCAACATGGAGTAAGGTAAGTATTCCTTTCTGTTAGATTAGATTCCCCCTTTCATATTTTGGTCAGCTCAGAGTTCAGCTTTAAGGTTTTAAAGTCAGTAAATGATAAAACCAAACGCAATGTAAGTTTTCAGGTCTATGTGAAGATTTAGATGCCGTTTCTCTTTACTCACATTATGCAGGACAGCAATTTTATCTTATTCAGATACTTTTTAATATCCAAAAATGGATGCCGTCCAAATGGCTTTTCTATAATTGAACTGGGCCGGCACCCTCCAAGATTGAGCACATTTCAGAGATATATTAAGCTTTTTCCTCCATTTGTCATTCTGTGATATTATTTTATTGGCTGCTGAACGCTGTGATTTTAGATTCCAGAGATGAAGTTGAAACAGTTTTTGTTAATGTACTTGCGGTTACAAATACCATTTTAAACCAGTAGTGAAGGGAATATTCATAAAGACTTACTGAAGTTTATTTCCACTTTTACAGTCAAATTTGGAAAAATAAAACCCCTCTATATGTTTGTTGTGTGTTCCCATTCACACAGCATAACAAAGAAATCATTTGTAATAGAATATTTCTTACATTTAGATGTTGCTTGCAAAAGGCAACATGGCTGATCCCAGGTTTTTCTCAGCACCTTCACGTGATCTGTCCTAATAGAAAGACTTAGGACTGAAATATGAGGATTGTGTTTCTCTCATTAACTTAATTTACATTTGAATGCAGAAGCCGGGGCTGTAATCCTTTTACCCTTTGTTAGGACAGACAGTTTACTTGCTTCTGAGATCGGGACTGTCTGACGGCGGCTGTCATCCCCTCACGCCTGCTCCTCCTTACTTCTTTCCTGTGCCAATCGTGGATGTGGGCGGTGCGCATGAGGCAGGGAGGAGGTGTGGCGTGTGGATGCAGGTGGACGAGTCTGGCAGCAGCAAGGGTGAGGCGGGGATGAGGTGTGGCGTTCACCTCTTGCCCCCAGGGCCGGATTTGCTCTCTCTGCTGCCCCAAGGCCAAGTTCCTCAATGCGCCCACCTACCCGCCAAACCCCCCCCCATGGAGAATGACAGACCTGCAGGCTGCAAACAAGTGATCTTGGCGACATCACCGAGATCACTTGTACAAAACAAGTGGCGGCCTCCCCGCTGTACATTTAGCTCTGCCCGGCGCACGGAACTGTATGACCCGGGCGTCGAGAGATAGGAACTCCACACCTCTGCTGCCCCTCTACCCCCGCCGGGCCTCGGTTGGCCTTGTAGGAAATCTGGCCCTGCTTGCCCCACACCTCTGAAGGTGGGGACAGAAAATGTGGGGACGCAGAGTGGCACAGATGCCTGTGCTGGTGGCCGGACGAGGTCTTGCGCAGAGGCTGCGGATGACCAGATGAGCAGACACTGGACAGCAGGGTAGACAGGAACGGGATGGATGGCCGGAAGCAGAGTCAGAGCCGCAACCGAGGTCATACACAGGTGAGCAGAGTAGCAGTGGTACCGAAGCAGCAGGTAGGAGCAAGGTCAGGATCACAAACCAGGGTCATACACGGATAAGCAAAGTCATATGGTGCCAGGTCATGAGACAAGAAGCCAGGTCCAAGGATCACACGCCAGGCTCATACACAGGGAAGCGGAATCGAAGGGTAAACGCAGGAACACAAGGATAGCTGACGACCACACAGCAACTGGCTCTGAGGGAGCATGAAGCCGGCTTGGTGACGAGGGAGCATGAAGCCGGCTTTCCAGCTAATCAGGAAGCTGGGCGGTGTGTAATGACTTGCCGCCCAGCTTCCTGATTGGGTGTTAAGCTGGCCAATCAGGAAGCCGAGCAGCGGGTCATTACCTACCCCCTGGCTTCCTGATTGGTGCTTCCTCGTCACCTGATGATCAGGGAGCATGGAGACGGCTTCCCGGCTAATCAGGAAGCCGAGCAGCGAGTCATTAAACGTCGTCCGGCTTCCTTAATGGGACTTACGGTATCGATATTAGGTGAGTACTGAAAAAAAATATTGGTACTTGTATTTTATACCGAAAAACCGGTATCGGTGCATCCCTTCTTGTTTCGCATTACATAACGTTGTGCTCACTGAATGATATTATTTGTAGAATGTTGTTCAGCACTAAAACATACTAACACAGCTTTGGGCAGATTTAGTAGTTGGTACCGCGGTATACTGTATGTGTGTGCTATGTGTGGTTGTCATGGGCAACATTGCTCAGTTTTTTTTTAACAAACTCTATGGTGATGGTTTATTTAGATTTTGTCTTTAATTATATTTTTCTATAATTGGTCCTGTTATACTATAGTAAGCTTTTTCATATCTCAGAAATCATTTTCTGTATTTTTGGTAATATGTTGGGGGCCATTTCTTTCTTTAGTTATATTATTGTCCTATAGGGGTCCCGTATTGCTTTATATTTCATATGTAGACCATTATTAAAGGGGTTAGGCTTAGGCTAATGTCAATGAGCTTGGTGGACATCCCATTTCAATATCTTGGGCATTAATACTGAGTTGGATCCCCTTTGCATCTATAGCATCCTCCTCTGGGAAGACTTTCCACAAGATTTTGGAGTGTGTTTTTGGGAGTTTTTAGTTCTTCTTCTATCTATAATTTCATCAAAACAAAATGCACACATGAGCACACTGATGTCGGAGATGGGTCTGTATCATAAGAGCAGAGAAATTTATTGTTCAACAAACCCACGCTGATTCAGTAAGTGGAGGTGACTAAGACGGAGACTGAAGGCTGAGAATAATGAGGATTACAGAGATGATCGATCTGACCTCAGGTGTCCAACATTAAATGCACCC